TTTTATAGCTGTTATATAGCAAATGTTTTACTATGAGATATTCAAAAGATTATGTTTGGTTAAGTCAAGTTTAACAGTAATGAGAAAAAAATTCACTTCAGAAAACAATACTAAAACTCATCCTACATGTAGAATATTAATTATAAAAAGAAAAAAAAAGACCGACTGTAGATTAAATTGACACATTTTTGTGTTTACTTTTTACAGAAACTTAAGCAAGTTTGTAATGAAGAAGATGTAGTTGCCAGAAGAGATGACAACGATAAGGACGACAGCAATATTATGTAAATGCGTTTGATTTGTAGCACATCCTCTTTATTGGTTCTGACACAACATTCTACTTCGCAAATGGTTCCATTGTGACAGAACAGCTATGAATTTCCTCTGTCAAGGCTTGATTCAGAGAGAGTGTAGCCATCTGCTTTTCTCAATATTCAAGATTTTTAAGTGTGCACTATGGAGTTTTGTACACTAGGCCCCTTGTTTATTTTTGATATTTCTTTGACATTTTTAAAATCAATTGAACTTGCCAATCCTATCCTTTTGTCCTGTATTGAAATGGGGCTTTTGCTAAATTACAGTATAATTAAGTACAGTACAGGACGCATTAAACATTAAAGGACAAACACATAACGCTATATAATTGTAAGTAATTTTGTATTGTTGACCTCTTTTGTCCCAGAGCATCAAAGTTAACACGATGTAGTTGGAATCTTACATGTGACCAAAGGCCGACCTAAGGATATCCACGGTTCAGTGTACAGCATTTCAAGTTTTGAAAACGTCTTGGAACACCGATCAAACTCAAAAGTTTTACCATTATTTTGATGTTTTTAAACGTTTTTAAAGCATTTTTTAAAAGGTGTTACAAGACCAAAGTCAGTGTAACTAGAGTTAAAAATTACTCTAGTTACATTGACTTTGGTATTGTAACACATTTTAAGAATGTCATAAAAACGTTTAAAAACATCAAAATAAAGTTATAATAACGTTTCTGAATGTTAAATTGAAACGTTATTAAAACGCTTTAAAAACTCCAAATAATTACGTTTTTAAAAGTTAATATTATAACGTTTTACAAACGTAATAAAAACCCTTTGTAAACGTTTTTAAAACGTGATACAAGAACAAAGTCGATGCAACCAAGGTTATTTTTACGTTATAATAACGTTTTTAAAACGTTACATTAAATCGTTATTTAAACGCTTCCAAAACTCCACAAAATTACGTTTTCGAAACGTTTTACTAAAACGTTTTTTTGAACCAAACTCATACGTTTTTATAACATTTTTTTAACGGTAAATTGTTAGCTTGGTAGGCCCCTAGGCCTACTAATAATAGTATACTATAGGCCTAGTTATAGGCCTGGTCCTATGAAAAACTGTCTAGGCCTAGGCCTAAATAAATGCCTAAAAAATGCACTGTCTAAAGGTGACGTGCTAAAATACTACAGCATATCATCAGAGCCAACACCAATTCCTGTAACAATAAGATTATTATTGATATACTGTAAGCTAGAAGCTAGGCTACACAACAATAATGCCCCATTAAATAATAACATGATATATATATATACATATATATTTTTGTAGGAAAAGATATGTGATAGACCGAAACATGACACTCTCCTCACATAGGTATTTGCCAGTCGCCATGATGAGACAAACATACCACAACATTTGCCATGAGTACAACCACTCAAATATTGGCATCTACGAAAGAAGGTGGTACAAAGCATACAAACACCCAGCAAGACGTTAGCAAGAAACACTCTGGTTGTTTGCTGAAACTTGTAATGAAAGCTACACACAATTTAAGGTGAGCAAAAGAAAAATAAGTGAATATCTCATCACTGTTCAGCCAGAGTACATGAAACAAATATATTGGAATGGTAAAGAAAATATCAGCATGGTGTGTCAGTTTTATTAAGAAACAAAAATAATACATTACACACTAGCAGACAGGAAGGCTTCAATCAAGTAATTAAAAAATCTGAAAATACTGTCAATTGATGAATGCCTTTTCAGATTAGTACATACAGTATCTCAGTATGGTATGTTATTGATAAAGCAGCAAATGCCAATGTTTGATAACATTTTTTATTTTTAACAAACCTGGTTTTGCATTATTGTAACTACTGTATATTTATTCCTCAATAGGAGCAAATGACTGGCTCAAATGGATGTGATGCAAACAATTCCATCTGTGTGGACATGATGAAATGGACATGCCCAATCCATGGTTAGCAGAAGGTAGCGATGCTCAGAGCTCTGCAGCAAGTGATTAAGGCCAAAATATTTCCAAAGAATTAAATTAAAATGATTTATCTAGTGATTTTTTTTTTCTGGAGATATGAAATGCCACACACTTAAAATTGTGTTTTTTACGCATCTGGTTTATATTGCATGCCAAATTTATAATAAATAAATAAATACTATACGAATATTAATGTACCTGTTTCACTTGCAAAATATCTTTAATATTATTAAATGGTATTATAATCCCATTCAATAGTAATTCTTTTAAAGCAAATATGTGACCCAGATTTAGAAAACAAATTGTGAGGATTAATTTTGAAATATGTAATGTGCGAAATTGGATGAAGTACAATAAAAAGTTTGAACAGACTAGTTAAAAAAAATCAGAGTGACTATTCCTACACCATTCAAAAATAATTAGTATTGATATTACAATATCTTTATAAGGAATTATCATTCTGGCACTAATCATCAATGATAATTTTTGTTGAAAATATATATTTTTTAATTAACTATCACTGTGAAAAGCCCATATTCAAATGCAATGCAAAGTGGTGTAACATAGCCATGACCTAAATAATTATTTCATTAATATAACACTTTTTTAATATAAAAATAAAAATTAGTTTAAAAATTACAAATGAAGACAATAACAATATGTATAATAGACTATCTTGTTTCTCAATCTTTTCTAATGTACAGTAATAATAATGCCCCTGTATTTTGACCATCAAAATGGCTGGACATTTGACCCTCTACTAGTTTTTGATCCAGCATAGAACCAGCAAGGCCACGACTAAGGCGGGTTGTTATATTTCCGAGAAGAATGCAGAAAATTAGTCTTTGAACTAATCTGAATACTGTATATAACCATTGCCAATGTATTATGCAGAAGTTAAATTCTGTGCACATTTTTACAAGCCATTTTCCGCGCAAATTTGAGCTGGCTTTCAAGGTATCCGCATTCTACGACAAATAAACTGGCATTGTAGTAATGCTGTAGTAGTAGTAGGTCCTAGATAGTTCCATGGATCTAATAATTAACATTTAAATTAATGCACTTTATTTAAAATAGTGTTGTTTGTTTGTCTAATGTTTGAAATATTATTATTATTATTATAGTTTGTATGCCTAGGCCTAAACTAGGGGCCTAGGTCGCGCCAGGCAATTGTATTCCATATTCTCTATATACGTTACGGTTGAGTGAATCAGCTGACTCCCTAGGGGTCTAGTGAAAATTTCCGAAATAAAAACTGGGGCAAATCGTTATTTTACACATAATTGAGACATTTTCATAAGAGAAAACCCATGTAAATGAAAAGAACGGCCAAATTTACATTGCAATATCTAAAGTTTGACACGATTTTTTATGGGGTTACAGAATGCAAGCCTTTGAAAGTCGGTACATTTTAGGAAATTCCCTATCTTATAACTCTAGCTCAAAGGGACCCAGTTCACGAGCCTCGTTTTCGAATACAGCGCTCCAAAATCGAGTGCCGTCACCGTCATTGTTGTCGCCCATCCCTCTATTTTACATTGAAAATTAATCGTTTCATTCCCGCACCCCCCTTAAAGTGCAGACTCGGCTTTTCCGTTTGACTTACTGTTATATGGTGATGTTGTTTTGTCACAGATCCCCAATTTTGCAGTGAAGTTTGTAAATTCTGCTGAGGTGAACGGTGGGCCGTTGTCACTTGTAAGTGTGTCGGGTATACCATACCGACCAAAGTGGTTCACCAGCTTGTTGATTACTGATTTTGCGTTGGTAGAATGGAGATGGTCTACTTCCCAGAAATTTGAATGGTAGCATACTGTTATCAGGTATTCTTTTCCATTGTAATGGAACAAATCAATTCCGACATTCCCCAAAGGGCGATTTGGAATCTCATGACTTTTTAGGGGCATTTGTCCTTGGGAGACACTGTTTCACAGTTTTCTATCCACTGCTGCTCTTGATCTCATCATATTGGGCCAATAGACATATTCTCTAGCTCGGCGTAAGGTTGACTCTATACCAGTGTTACCAATGTGAAGATCTTTCTTGATAAGTTGTTTCATCTCCCCTTGGTACTACGAGTATTTGACCTCGAAAGACTAAATCTTCGTCGACGCTTAGCTCGTCTCACACTAGAATATGGTTTTAGTTTCTGGCATAGCTTGTCCTTGTGATCAGGCCATCCATCTTGTATACAATCTTTCAGTAATTGTTGTACCTCGTCGTTGGCTGCAATTATTTTAATCTCCTTTATTCTTTAATCCGAGAGGGTTAGGTGCTGCACAGCATAGACCACTTCGAAGTCCTCTTGACCCTTAACATAAGGCGTGAAAGATCTATTAAGAGGGTCTGCGATTAAATTATTTCTTCCTTGTATGTACTTGATAGTAGTATCATATGCCAGAACTCGTAGCAACATGCCTTGAAGGCGCGTTGGTGCCTTATCCAATGATTTCTTGGCAGTGCACTCAAGGGGTCTGTGATCTGTGTACACAGTTACATGTCGTCCATAGTACTAGTGTCACTTTTCTAATGCGAACACCACAGCTAACATCTCTTTTTCAATTACAGCATATCTGGTTTCTGTCTCATTCAGTGCACAGCTGGCATATGCAACAAGTTTCCCACCTTGAAGTATCGCAGCTCCGATACCACGGTCACTTGCATCAGTGTGTAATACCAGGTCCTTCTGTACATCAAAATAACTGAGGATGGGAGCCATCGTCAACAACTGCTTTAAATCTTTGAAGGCATTGTCAATTAAGGCACATGCATCCCATGATCACACTGTGTCCGTGCGAGTTAGTGCAGAGATCGGCTCCATGACCTCAGATAGCTTTGGTAAGAATGCAGATAACTAATTTACCATTCCCCGCAGTCGGTGTATTTCATCTTTATTCTGTGGTGCTTTCACCTGAAGTACGCATCAATTTTGGTTGGGTCTGGTTTTAAACCATCTTTGGATACAATGTGGCCTAAAAAGGGTACTTCATCTACTCCAAACTTTTTCTTTGCATCGTTTCAGTAACACTTTCACTCGACAGTTGTGCTCTTCTATATCTCTGTCCCAAATGATGATGTTATCAGCAGTGAACACCTTTCAAGCGCTTGCTGAAGTTTTTTTGAAAAGGGAGTCTTTTCCAGAAATATCGCCCCCACGGTGTAGCCATGGTCGTGAGTCTGCTAGGTAGCCATCCTTTAGATCACATATTGAAAGAATACTGTGCCTTGTTAAGATTTGGCAATATGTCTGAGAGTACCGGCAGTGGATGGTGTTCTCGTGGTAGGTATCGGTTGAGGTTACCTGGGTCAATACAAAATCTAATGCCTCCAGATTTCTTCCTAGCCACTACCATTTGGCTGACCCAGTCTGTTGGGTTATCAATCTTGCTCAATACGTTTTGCTGAACCAGTTTGTCAATCTTCATTTTTACCGCAGGTTTCAGAGCCTCTGGAAATCCTCTCGCTAGCCTTATAATTGACATAGCATCTTCACTTATAGTAATGTAATCTTTATCTCCCAGTAGAACTCCAGTCTTTGTTTCATCGAAAACTTCTTCATATTCTTTGATGTAGTTGGGTAAATATGAATTGACAGAGTTGACTTGCTGGCCCATCGCTTCAGCTGCAGTTCGACCTAGGATGGGAGTTAAGTCTTCTTCTACCACGACGCAGTGTACTTTGTATTTTTTTGTCTGGTAGATGGGTTTCTCATCTTGACAGTTGTCCGGCCCAATGCATTCATTCCGGCATTGTTCCACATCCTCAGTTTTATCTCGTCTTTGTCAATGTTGGGGGCGTATTTCTGAGGAACAAATTTCACTGTGGCCCCACTGTCAATTTGGAACTTTACGGGTTTTCTATCAATCTCCATGTTGCAGTATATCGGTTTACCTAGGTTACGGCTTACAGCATTGTCGTCCGCAGTCAGTGCAGGTCCTTCCCCAGGCGGAAATTTTTCCTTCCGGAAAGGATGGTCTTTTCTGCAGAATTTGCAGAGTCTTGTTAAACTTCTTGGCTTTGAGGCTGCATCATGGTGGATTTGTTTCTCTGATCTTTGCTGTTTAGGTTGGTATATTTTGTTGACTATAGCATCTTTATTTTTGCTTTTCTCTGTACATTTGCATTTTCAATAGCCTTACAGATTTCTATAGCTCTAGGTAGGGTGAGATCATGAGTGGAAGCCATCTTTTCTCTTATTTTATCATCAGTTACACCCATCAGATAGATATGTGTGCATATGCTGTGAGTATATGATTTAAATATGTGATTTGTTTTTTTTTTTAATAAAAAGAAACCACCCCATGCTGGTGGCATGACACAGGCTCAGCAATGACCAATACAGGCAGCAATGGTCAAGTTGAGATAATGTATGGAAATAAAATGACAATAAGAAGAGATGGATATTCAACTAAAGAAAAAAGATAATTGAAAATTGATAAATGAAAATATTTTTTTTATCCATGTTTGCATTTGTTATTTAAAATTTTGTTTTTATGATTTAGAGAATCGTGTTGTTTGTACATAAATGAAAATGATACTAAATAAAGGTGCGGTTACCCCACAAGAGAGAAATAAAAGACTCCTTTAATATCGAGGGAGTAGCATCTAAACAAGTCAAGTCCTCTCAGGAGTGAACCAGGGCACAGTCTTAGGACCACTTATTTTTTTATTACATACGACATAACCCATTTACAGAATATCTACAGATATTTAAATTATATCAATCTGTCTTTTCTAATCAACAGTTGTATGTTATCCTGGTAGGTAGAAGTGCATAAGGTCTACATGGGATATTTTTCCAATATTTGAGAGGCTCTTGACCAATGAGAAACCTGCATTTGGCATCACATGACCTTAATGTATATAAAATGAGACTATTCCAATTAGGAGCAGGGGTGTTCTAACCACTATTCCACTCTAGTTCAGGGGAGTTTTAACAACTATTCAATTTAAGAACTGGGGGTGTTTTAAATACTATTCCATTTTTAAAGCAGGGTGTTTAACCCTGAACCTTCTTTATTCTAGAGCAGGGGTGTTTAACCCTAAACCTATTCCATTTTTTAGAGCGGGTATTTAACCCTAACCCTATTCTATTTTACTTTACGAAAATTTAACCCCAATCAAACATGACTACAACCAAATTAAAAATACCCTAACACTAACTAATTTAATAACCGCAAATTTACCCTATGATGCAAGATAGGTCACTTCATTAAAATTATATTTGTTTTGTGTTTTTTGTGTTATTTTTTTTTTTTTGTCTTTTTATTTTTACCTTTTAACAACTTTTCTTTTTGTTGCAACTTCAACTTCATTTCTCATTAAACTAATGGCGAAAAGCCATATGTTCTGTTGTCAAAACAGACATAGTAAGTCTAGATGGTATTATTATTATTTATTATTATTATTATTATTATTATTATTATTATTATTATTATTTGTTTCTTATCAATGAAATACTCAGCTGATTGTTAACATAGTCGTTGCAATGCCTTACGTATGTAAGGTTATCATCCACCAGTGTTTTTTTTAAATGTCATCGTGTATGTAATTATTATGTTATCCTCCACCGCCATTATATGATTCAACATTGATTTAGACGATATGCATTCTTGATATGTTACTATAGTTGGCTCTTGTGAACGATCGCTTTCAGAATTTTCATTAAAACCACCGCCTCTTGTTCGTGTTACTGGACTAAATAAAGTCATCAAGACGGAGACACATTTAAGAGACAGAAAGGGTGTATACGATCATAACAAAGGAGAAAATGGTAAATTAGACGTTAACCATTATTTTCTTTTAATAATAAAACTTTTTATATTGCTATGTGTCCTATATTTTATAAACCAGGGCACACTCTTAGACCCCTTATTTTTTTTATTGCATACGACATAATCCATTTACAGAATATCTACAGATATTTAAATTATATCAATCTATCTTTTCTAATCAACAGTTGTATGTAATTATCCTGGTAGGTAGAAGTGCATAAGGTCTACATGGGATATTTTTCCAATATTTGAGAGGCTCTTGACCAATGAGAAAACTGCATTTGGCATCACGTGACCTTAATGTATATAAAATGAGAAATGGGACTATTCCAATTAGGAGCAGGGGTGTTCTAACCACTATTCCACTCTAGTTCAGGGAGTTTTAACAACTATTCAATTTAAGAACTGGGGGTGTTTTCAATACTATTCCATTTTTAAAGCAGGGTGTTTAACCCTAAACCTATTCCATTTTTTAGAGCGGGTATTTAACCCTAACCCTATTCTATTTTACCTTACGAAAATTTAACCCAATCAAACATGACTACAACCAAATTAAAAATACCATAACACTAACTAATTTAATAACCGCAAATTTACCCTATGATGCAAGATAGGTCACTTCATTAAGTGTTATTTTTTTTTTTTTGTCTTTTTAATTTTACCTTTTAACAACTTTTCTTTTTGTTGCAACTTCAACTTCATTTCTCATTAAACTAATGGCGAAAAGCCATATGATTTGTTGTTGAAACAGACATAGTAAGTCTAGGTGGTATTATTATTATTATTATTATTTATTATTATTATTATTATTATTATTATTATTATTATTTGTTTCTTATCAATGAAATACTCAGCTGATTGTTAACATAGTCGTTGCAATGCCTTACGTATGTAAGGTTATCATCCACCAGTGTTATTTTTTTTAAATATCATCGTGTATGTAATTATTATGTTATCCTCCACCACCATTATATAATTCAACATTGATTTAGACGATATGCATTCTCGATATGTTACTATAGTTGGCTCTTGTGAACGATCGCTCTCAGAATTTTCGTTAAAACCACCGCCTCTTGTTTGTGTTACTGGACTAAAAAAAGTCATCAAGACGGAGACATATTTAAGAGACAGAGAGGGTGTATACGATCAAACCAAAGGAGAACATGGTAATTAGACGTTAACCATTATTTTCTTTTAATAATAAAACTTTTTATATTGCTATGTGTCCTTTATTTTATAAACTGTAATATATTATTTGTGCTATATTGCAAATAAGCCGGCTTTGGTTAAATGAGTAACGCAGGTATATTTTTTATTCATGTATCTTTGGGTATTGTTGTCCTTCTTGTATACTTCTGATAAGTAATAATTTATATTATAATTATGCTTATTTAAATCCATACGAGCATAGTTTTGTTATGTTACGTTACATAAAATCGGATATTTGTGTTAACCTACCTGCCTGAAAAACCGTAACAACATGTAGATCATCAAAGTCTTCATCTGACGAAGTGAATATAATTCCATATTTCAGCTTAATTGAAGAACAAACAACGACTTTACGGTCGATTTTACTCTGAATTTTTAGCTCTTTTGAACACGTGGCATTGATTATAGAGCCAACTATATTCCTAATGTTTGACATTAATGCCATGAAAAAAAAGTTTTTTTTTCATGGCATTAAGATATGTTAAGATATGCTTGTAGTTAATTATACAAGTAAGAAAACACGAAGGATAAAATATACTTCACTTACTCGGTTACGGCTTACAACATTGACTACAAATGTGTGACTTATGCTCCCTGCATCTGAGGAAGAAGTATATTCACGTTCAACTACATGCACTTTTCGTGTGCATACACTGGAACCTTTAAAGTGGTTTTGTCGTCCGCAGTCATTGCAGGTCCTTCCCCATGCGGAAATTCTTCCTTCCGGAAAGGATGGTCTTTTCTGCAGAATTTGCAGAGTCTTCTAAAACTTCTTGGTTTGAGGCTGCATCATGGTGGATTTTTTTCTTTGATCCTGTTTAGATTGGTATATTTTGTTGACTATAGCATCTTTATCTCTAATTGCTTTCATATGTACTGTTAGATTAGATTAGATTAGATTTATTCGTTGTAAACACCAAGGAAAGCCCACGAAAGTCTAGAAGAAGACTTATTTCCAGTGGGGTCCTTCTGGTGGTGATTGGGCTGTACACCGGGAGACAATCCGCTACTCTTTTCCGAAGAGTGTACTGCGTACTTTAACGTGTACATGGGCCATAATGCACACAGGACCAACGGCTTAAACGTCTCATCCGAAAGACGGTGCGCTATTGTAACTTTTATTTCAGCCCTCTAGCTGAAACACAAGAAGAGGCAGCGATGGGAATTGAACCGGAGAACTAGAGATCTCCACGGTTCAGCGCGCACACAGCGGCTACCACCAGATTAGCCGACTGTGCTAAGCTGCTGTTGCAATTTTAATTGCCTTACACATTTCTATAGCTCTAGGTAGGGTGAGATCATGAGTAGAAGCCATCTTTTCTCTCATTTTATCATCAGTTACACCCATCAGTAATCGGTCCATAAGTAATTTGTCCTTCATGCATGCACAAAAGCTACAAGTCTTTGACATATTTCTTAGAGTAGTAATATATAGTGTTCAATGGTTTCTCCCGCATTCTGGTTTATTTTGTTGAACTTAAAACGTTCAAAAAAGTCTTGCTGCTGACCAAGGAAGTGATTGTCGAGCTGTTGCAGAATCTTATCTACTTGTTGAGCATCAGCAGGGTAATACAATTTTAAACCATTGTATACTCTTAGGCTGTTTTGTATGGCTGGGGTTGACTGGCTAAATATTTAGAATAGAATATTTTGCATTTGAGTTAGTAACAAGAACTTATGGGTTTCACTCTTCCAAAGATTTTTAACGCGAAATTTACATTATGTTCACAATAAATTGAAATCGATAGAATAGTTACTGAGATAGGACTCAATGAGCAATGTATTTCGACAGATTTCACACCCAAGGACGATACATTATATATGTGAATCACACCCTACAGTCATCCATGCATAACTATAGTAGCCAATCATCGTCTATTGACGCTGTGTGTGTTTGGCGCTTTTTTGGACTTTACACTGCCCGTTTGATTAAATCAGTTCTAGATTGGCTATCCTTCAGAACACACGCAAACATGTCGTCGAATATATATTTTCTAGTACAATGGATAGAAGAGAAAGATTCATGGGACGTTCTTCCATCGAGGTTTAGTGTTAAGAGTGTACACAATCCATGCGCTTTAGCCGGGGACTGTTTGTGACTTTTACTGGAAGAAAGGCGAAGAGTCATCACCATGTCATGTATTAGCATACGGTATGTAGTACACATTTATTGATAAAATATAAATTAAAAGTCTACGTACATAGGCGTACGTATAGGCCTATTATATATTTTTTTTTTATAGATTTTATATAATAAAATTATTATTATTATTATTATTATTATTGTCATTATTATAATTATTATTATTATTATTATTATTATTATTATTATTATTATATTATTATTATTATTATTATTATTGTAGAAAATGCTGTCTAAACGTTTTTGTCGGACACCATTCATAACTTAACGTCGACAAAATCATCATATGAAGAGATATTAAATTAAAGTCAACAATAGATTAGTTTAACTAATGTTTTAGAATACATTCATAATCAAATACAAATATAATCTTTAGATTAAAAACTAGCCTACATATATTTGATAGTGATTAACCAAGATAGGCCAAAAAATCGTTTGTTTGCCCTCCTCCACCCGCCCCTAACTCACTGAAAAAAATACAGGCGGAAAAACAAAATAAAACCTAAAATAAAGGGTTTTTTAAGCTTTTTCTTTACAAATTAAAAAACAAATGTGAGTTAATTTATCTTTATTTTTTGCCAGATGACCTACAAATTAGTCTAAAGTTGTTGTCTGATGTAAGATATTGCCATTATAGGCCTCTGTGGGTTATTTTAATTCCATCTGATGAGTATTTAAAAAAAAAATAAATTAAAAAAAAATAACTTTTTTCACCCTCCTCTATTTATCATTTTTAAAAGAAGAAGGGTCAACAAACAATTTATTTTATTTGGCCTTATTAAAAGATTATTAGTAAAAAGTTTGAATATGCAAGATTAAACAATTGAACATACCAAAAGTTACCTACTGTATTAAGCAAACTTCATTTTACATTATTAAACCTTGATAATGATTCGGTATGTTTAACTCGTTAGTTTGATTTAATTTGATAAGGCCGCTCTTTTTCCATATGCGCTAAAGGGTGTGTTATTACAGTAACCCGCAGGTAGCCCGTCGCAGGGCTTGGCAATAGACACAACTCTAGCGCATAACAACCTTGTTTTCCGTTTGTTAGTAATGACGTCATCACCACAAAATTGCTTTTGTAAATAAATAAGGTCATTTATACTTGATCCACTTTTGATTTGTATACATACATAACATTTTATTATAAAATAAAACACAGCAGTGTGGGCTAAAAACTTAATAACTTACTTAAAACTGATAAAAACTTAAGAAAACTGATTTGGTTTGATGCCGCTCTTTTTCCACATGCGCTAGAGGGCGTGTTATTAGAGTAGTCTGTCTCAGGGCTTGGCGATAGAACTAAGTCTAGTTTATTACGCATACTCACCGTGTTTTTCAGTTAGTTGTTGATGACGTCATCACTACCACAAATTGCGTTCGTAGCATATTAAAAGAGGTAATTTATAATTAATCCACTTTTGATTTGTTGTGTTAGTGGTGTTATATATTATCATTTATTAATAACTTAACACAACAGTGTGGGCCAGAAAAATAATTACAAGTAAATGTGTTTTCATTTAAGGAACTCAAAACGAAATGGAAAAAAAAAGAGATCCGAAGTGGCAAAGAAAGCTGAAGCAGAAGACAATGATGATGAAGCCACAACCTCCTTTGGAGTTGGTAGAAGACAAATCAAAAAGCCTGCTCGGCTTCAGAATAACCTAGAAACGTCCGATCAAACCCCGGTATGATAATATTTTTCAATTTAGCGTTATAATCGATTATACACATTAATTGGCACACAAGAGTTGCCGGAAACGCAGTGCTACAAAAAGATGAAATACCTTGCAGAATAACCTCAAATTTTGAACAAAGGGGTTATAATGCAAGAGACGACCAAAAAAAAAATACAACAAAAACGACCACCTGACTCATAACTAAAGATGGGAAGGGTACTTTGTGTATGTGAACTTTAAAATGATGACAACGATAGAGCCTCCAACGATAAGGTGTTGCGATAACTACAAAAATCAAACGCCCCTATCTAAAATATTTTTTTTTAGGTCAAAAAAAAAATAAAATAAAAAAATCGTCAATTTCCTGACGGTTAATTTATATGGTAACTTTTCTGTATCCATCTGCATAAAAATCTTTACATTGGCTAGTAATTAACGATTTTTGTGGTAAAATATTAGTAAATTTTATTTATTTTCCTGTATTTTGACTGATAGTACATCTTCAAAGTACAGTAATTGTCTGAAAAAATACTTAATAATAAATTCCAACACTGCAACTATATGAGCTGCACTTAAGCTTAGCACGTATTTGCTGTATTAGTGTCCCTGTATTAGTATCCCTGCTTATAAACTTTCTACTTTCTTTTTTTTTTTATTATTAAACCTATGTAATTTCATATTATGCTTTGAATTATTTATTTTTTGCAGACTTGTCAAAAATGATAAAAAAAAACCTTAAGGAGTTTAAGGAGGGAATGAAGCAGCAGGAGCCCAATGAAGGAAATAGCCCATCATCACATTATGTGAAACAAACTTCAAAGGTTAATACTAATTACTAAAACTAATATTTTAATTTGAACCACAAATATAACAACAAACCAATTCCACAAAGCACAAACTATAAAACACTTCATCATTAAAATTTAATTGAGATTTATAGCTGGGAGCTATCTTTAAACTAAATATACATCAACACATTTTATTTTGCCAGCGCAGGCACTGGAATTTCTGTTTGATATCAATAAACGCATGAAACATTAATTTTATTTATAAAGTTTATTAAAACTTTGTTTTTTAAAGGTGGATATAGGGTACGGAAAGAGGTACCCTGCTATGTGCCACACAATCGAGCGACGGCCCAACCAAACTTGTGAGAAGTTTATTCAGGTCTTTATTTAAGGTTGAAGAAGTGGTCGGGAAGAGCATCACTGGCCGAAAAAGCAACGCTCACTTGACCACTACTGAGCCAAAGGAGCAGGCCATCATAGGTAAGAGAAATAGAAATAATAAACTACTGATTACAGTACAGTAGGTCTGCAGTTGCAAAGTGTTCTGCACTTTCTTATGCTATATTATTTTTGGGGGGCTGTTGCTAAGCCGAATCTTATATTTATGTGCCAAATTTGACCAAAAAATGGAAAAAAAATTTACACGATTTTACCAAAAAAAATCATACTTAGAAGCTAGTTCGTCACTGAAAAATTCAATTTAAATATATTTGGTATCATACTAAAGTTCTACCATGTGATGTGTATGATGACATGTTATGTTAATTTTGATACCCAAACGATAATATTAATTAGTTAGATAATTAATTAGATAATTATTAATTAGCCTTCGTCTGAAATTTTTTCAACAGCAAAATACAAAATTAATATCTGACATTATTCATTTTGTATTTCGGAGTTATAGTTTGTTAAAGGTTACATATTTTGACACCAAAATAACTAACTTGAATATATTTGTTATCATACGGAAACTATTAAAAACAAATACCAAATGATGATAAAATGATTTCATCATACACATCATTTGGCATATTAAAATAATATACCAAATGATAGGTATGATAACACATTTATGTTAATATTGTAACCCAAAATTGACATTTTTGATAAATTTAAAAATAGATGTTATTTATGAGAAATACTAAGATAACAAATGTTATATTATATACTTTCTATAAAACTGGTGAATTTACATTACTAGACATTGGCATACACGAAATGGGCTGTTGAATTGCTAAATTTTTAACTTTTGAGTCAAATTTGACCAAAAAATTACACTTTTATAAAAAAAAATGTATTTTTAAACTATGTTACTGAAAGATTCAATTAAATGTGTTTAGTATCATATACATCATCATAAATTAGTCCTATAATTGTATAATGAAAAATTTTATTGATCTTGTAATGTGACGAAAAATATGTTGGCTTATTCTATAAAATTATTATACATTTTTTTCATCCTCAGATTTCACGATGAAGAAATTCCCCAACACTTCAGTTGCTTTGCTGAGGCAATCATTGGCCAATAAAGTCAAAGAACTAAACAAAATTAAGGCGAATTAATTCAATTTATATTTATGTCCATCCGTTTAACCATAGCTCAACTACCGAATGCCTAAACCTAAGAGGCCAGACTGTATTTATATATTCCAGTAACTAACATAATTTCAATACCTTTAGAATTATATTACTGTAACGATTATGATGGACAAATTTAATAAGTTATTATCGTTGATTTTAAAATGTACTGTTCGTAACAAACTGGGAGGGATATTTTTAGTATGTGAATTTGATCTTATATTTCATCATTTTTACAATGTAAAATATTTGGACATCTCTGGATCCGCCCCTGCATCAAGAGAACTTTAATTATATAAGTTAATGTTAATATTTAAGAAAATTTGAATTTTTAATTAACTAAAGCTTGAGGTCACTTGTCATGCATTTTCGGTGAATAAATTTTATGAAATATTTACTTATAGTTGTGTCAGTAAAATTTTGTTTGAAAGTGTGTATATTATTATAATACTATGGATTGTAATTGCTAATTCATATGTTTATTTGGAACTCTGTGGAAATTTACAAAGAAAAATTATAAATGACTATTTATTTATAGTAAATTTAAATACATACAATTTCATATATTTATTTAATGTGTAATTATGTATCTTTTTCTATAGAATTTCAATAGTGTTCAATCACTTCTTATATATTTTCTATACAACATACATAGACTTTCTATAGAATTTTATACACAATTTCTATAGTATTTACATTTACTTTATACAGAATTGTTCTTTGGCTTATAGAATTTTCATATACTTTATATAGACATTCAGAATAGTTTCCGTATAAATACCATACAACTTCTATACATTTCTATAATATCTATTTATATAATTTCTATAGAATTTACATACACTTTATACAGAATTGTTATTTGGCTCATAGAATTTTCATAAACTTTCTATAGACATTTAAAATACTTTCCATAGAAATACCATACAACTATCAGTACATTTTTATAAATTTCTTTATATAATTAATAATTAATTAATAATTTACTTAATTTTA